ATCCCATAGCAACAGATCTTATATTCTTTTCTTATTTAAAACCACATTCATGAAGGTTTTATTGTTAACTTGATCCAGATGACTGATCAAAGCATAGTTTGTTATTGCCACCTTGCTAAAATATTTTTAAAGGCAGTTTTAATATTACACTTTTATAGCTACATATTGCCATTAAGCTATTGAGTCTATTACTAGTCAATCAAGGATTTTCATTCTGTTTCAAGGGCTCCTTGGATAAACTCTTCAGAAATGTCAAGAGAGATGGAATATATGGCACCTTTTCACAGATGGTGTTCATCAGGATTTTTGTTAATGGAGAAAGTTTCAGTTTTTCATGGTTGACTTTGGTGCTAACAAAAGTATTCTAGTGGCCTCTGCTTTTTCAGAGGCTAGCGTATAGTAAGGAAGTTAACCCATAACACCTCCAACCTCTTCATTATTCATGAGGCAAAAAACCCGGGACATCATGGAGTATCTCACTGGATTCATTTTTCTAAAGAATAGAATATTTCTTGAAAAAGAACATTTATCTTGCTCTCCCCATGTCCAAGAACAACAGCAACCAAAAACAAATATACAACAGGGAAAGTTAAGCTGTCACATGGAGGGTTACATAGTCAACTGGCCCGTCATAGGCCATAATTATGTATTTTTTCTTTCATTTGTTCTAGAGTAGCCTGTTCTCATTCCATTCATTCATTCATTCATTCATTCGTTCATTCATTCATTCCTACATCTATTCAACACACATATGTTACTACTAATACACCTGACTCTGGGCTAGATGTTGAGTACAAGGGTAATTCGAACATAGTGTTTGCCTCCAGAGATTTTCAACCTAGTGGTGGAGGAAGCCAAGAAAGCATATGATTATTTACCATTCATTGAGGTAAGTGCTGTGATGAGTGAGAGGTTGAAGGAGGGCTAAGGATTCTGGGAAGGCAGTGGGTGAGCACTCCTTTTGGAGGCAGGTTTGGGGAAGGCATTGCTGGAAGTGATGGTGTCAAAGCTAAGAGCAGAACTGAAGGGTATAAGTCAGTAAAGGTAGAGGATGACAGCATTACAGAACAGAGACCACATGTCCCAGGACCGGGGAGAGGAGATGAGCGGTGAGGCTGGGAAGTGAAAGGCAGTCACCTCCCAAGAGCCTTGTAAGCTGCGGAGGAGCCAGGCTCTTTTCCTGTGGCCGTGGGAGCCTGTGAGGAGCTTGAAGCCAGTGGGTCTGAGATCACTCTGGCTCCAGATTGTGCTCCATGGAAGGCAAGAGTACAGCAGGAGAGCTGTTAGGATCCTATTGCCCTGGAGAAATAAGGTGGTGCCTGGAAGGAAAGGGAAGTAGAAAATGAAATCTGTGGTCTCAGCAGTCATGACATAATATCGTAAAACCAATAAAACACTGTTTGCCAAAAGCAAAAGTGTCAGGTCAGCCATTTGGTAGACACTGGGAAGGAAATAAAAACGGGCTTCAGTGGATTGCTAAGTGAGTCCATGAGTTCCCAAGTGCAGAGCGGGGAGAAGCTACCCTCTCCAACTTTATATTAGTTTTCCTGGGAATGCAATTGTGACTGCCCAGATTTACTGTTTAAGGCTTTGTGGTAGGCACCTCCTGTTAGCTGATGGCTACAGGAATATGAACCATTATGCGTGGAATCACCCAGTAAACGTGTCTGAAGGTATGTGAGTGAGTAATACCCTTGTACCAAAGCTTGCTATAATTTTCTTCAGTCTTTTTTTCTTTGTTTGTTTGTTCTACTCCCCGTCAGCCTTTAGGGAGTCTTATTCATGGTTCCTATCCTTCCAGACCATTCTTGGTGTATTAGAAAACAAATACAGTTGGATAGTAATGAGGATAGGGAGCGTAGATTTAAAAAATTAAAGGAGGTTTCTTTCCAATCTGACAATTAAGCAAGCAGGATTGGTCAAACTTTCTTATAGAAGGAAAACTAGCAACCAGCCTGTAAGAAATCGCTCACAGTTTAGGGGATATGTTACAAGCAAGATAAATAAAAGTAGTCTAGAGTATCAGGCCAAACTCTCATTTTTCATCTCCGTTTCACACTCTTCTCTTTCAGCCCAGACTAATCAAAAGGAGCCTCTTCCGCTCACAATTGCTCTGTGTACATTTCCCCCAGATCTGGTATTCACATGAACAATGTGGTTTATTTATATTTCAGCACCAAATTGGAAAGATGACATCATTCATTTACAGTCTTTATCCCATGACATGCCTACTCTCCAACACCTCATTTCAGCAGACACATTTAGGGCTGCATATAGCATCTTGTTTAGCTTGTACATTCTTTTATGGGATACAGTTCAAAGGTAGGGAACTTTAGGCTTGTCACTGGTAAGAAAATAATCTCATAAAATCACAGGAGCTTCCCCAAAGGGTAAGAACGTTATGATATTTACAATAGCCATTATTATTTGTTCATTTAGGCTCCATCGTTCATTCTTGGGCAAGTCCCTTCCTTATTGGCCAGAGCAGATTTTATAACTCCCTTCAGACCCCAGAATTCTATTTGAAGACACAATTCCAGATTTATTAGTTCACAAGTTCAAAGATAACAGGCTCCTGACAATACTGGAATTTTAGGTGTGAGCGCTGAATTTCAGCATCTCCTGTACCAGGGTTGATCAAATAAAGGACATCAGGAAGATCTCAGGACTTAGTCGGCAACTGAACTGTTTCTCACAAGACATACCTTGTCCATTGGGTCTTCTGATACTGTCAGGGGGTGAGTGAAGGACAGACATGCTATAGCTGCCAAAGGTTTTCTGGGATTTTTAATGTAATTGCTAGGTGGATCTTTCCCTCTAATTTTATTGATTTTATCCATACAATGCTTTTTTTTTTTTTTACATCTACTCTGGGGCCATTCAAATATTGTACACATTTTAAAAAATGGAATGAGTGAATCATGAGGCATTCTTTGGCAGGTAGAACTGGGATGTGAGGTGTTTCCAAGACTTAACAGAATCGAAGCATTTATGGGAAGCGGTTTCTACCTGTTCAGCTGTTTGCCATTTTTGCTAACAGCGGGGCAAAGGGAAAAGCCTAACGATTCAGAATTGGAGGGCCCAGAAAACCTCCCAGCCCTATGTCAAGAAAGAGGCTCTGGGTTTTGAAATCCATGCCTTAATTTTCTAGCTGCAGAGGGAGAGAGTAATAATATGTCCCAGGAAAGTTTTGAGGGTAAGTTAGATTGTGGGTGGAAAATACTACAAGAATACACTGTGTGAGGTCCAGAATTATTATCAGAGCATTATTTATATCACATAATAAAATTCCCACTGGTTGGAGGTTCTGCCAGCCTCTGACGTCCAGCTCTCCTAAAGTGCTGATGGCTGGTCGTCATCTCGAGCTACCAGGGAGATTGTTACGTGATTCATGAGCGAGCCTCCCCTCTCAGTGACCTCCTCTGGCTGAAACAAGGGTGCAGCGTGCCTCTAGAACGGCAGCACCCCTCAGAGTCACGGCCCCTCCTTTCCTTCAGTCAGGCATTGCAGCAACAGGCATAGAATACACTGTCTAGACCCTCGGCTGGATTCTGGGGAGAGGCAGATGAGAGAAACAGCTGCTGCCAATAGACAGATAGATAAGTCTGTGGGTGCAGAGTGGTGTTTAGTAGGAGGCACACATCACCTGGCCTCAAGATTGGGGTCAGGAAAAGGCTGTGAATTAGCTAAACACACAGGTTAGAGGTGAGGGAAGATGCCTGTGGGAGTTGTCTCAGACAAAGAAAACACGGATCAAAAAGGAGAAATGGTGCCTTGGCCAGTGTGGCTCAGTTGCTTGGGCATCATCACGTGCACCTAAAGGTTGCTGGTTCGATTCCCAGTCAGGGCACATGTCAGGGTGATGTGCTCCATTCTCAATGTAAACAGGCAGAAGGCAGCTGATGATTTTCGCTTTTTCTCTCCCTCTCCCTTCCTCTCTCTCTGTAAAGATCAATAAAAAATATATTTTTAAAAAAGAAGTGCCTTACAATAAATAACAGCAGCATTTTCCTTTCATTGCAAGCCCGTATTGTGCCAGGTTCATCATAGAGAGGGAGGCACTCTCCCTCCCATTTTAGAGTTGAAGAGATTGAGTCTTAGAAATAGTTAATTGAAATAAACCAGCAGAGAAGTGCAACAGGACTTGAATCCAGTTAGCCTTATCTCTAAACCCATCTTTAGAAGCTTTCCGGGTTGGATGATTTTATTTGCCTTTTAAGCATTATTCTAGATTCTGTGACCCTGTTAGGTCAATTCTTCGCTGGTATGTTATTGCCCTGCATAGTGGGACAAGACACTAAAACAATTCTATGGCCCTGGGGGTTTAGCTGTGACACCTGTGGCTTGCCTCCTGTGCCAGTTATAGTGGGGAGTAAATTTCAGTGGTCAGCTCTTCTCCATGGACTCTGTCCCTTTTGCTCAATTTCCCCCCAAAGCTCTATCAGTTAAAACGCCCACAGAATGCTCTTTCGCCAGAAGTCATCAAGGCAACAAACCATCTCCATTAGTGTTTTTGCATTTGGCAGTTCTCCGGTGGATTTCCTGCCTTGTCCTGCAAGACCATTGTTTGTCTTTGGTTCTGTATCTCCACCCAGTCCTCTCCCATCTTCTCATGCAGGGCTTCCTTGTCTTGCTTGCTCTAGAGCATAGGATGTGATTGTTGGCAGTCTATGGTGGCAAGCTTACTCTGGGTCTCTGATCGCTTGACAATGTAAAACAAAGCACCTTTGGATGAGTCCATTCTTTCCCCTTTAAATCACGTGGGAAACTACAGTTACATCTACAAATGTAGATCCAAGGTCCAAGCAGCATCAAGGGTGTGGCAAAACCTCTTTCACCAAAGCGTGATGCTTTCCTTCTAAAATCTCCATGTGTCTACAAATGAAAATTTGTGGATTAGGAGCAAAGGGAGCCCTCTAGATGCTATAAGGACGCCCTGGGTGTCTTTGGCTGGGCTTCTCGCTCCTGACAGAGTCTTCCCTGGCTTTTGCTCTGAACAGACGCAGAACAGGATGAAGCTGATGGCAGACAACTATGACGAGGATCACCACTACCACCACCACCACCACCACCACCATCACCACCGGTCTCCTGGGAGGTCGCAGCATTCCAATCACAGGCCCTCTCCCGACCAGGTCAGTTTCCTCATACTTACCTCCAGGACCCCTTCTACCCTTTGGATATTTTAAGATAAAATAAATCATCCTCGAGAAATAATAAACAGCATAAAGTGATACGTTCTTTGAACTGAAACTAATAGCTTTGGTATTTATTTCCATCACTCAAGGAATCTAAATGTTTTCCTTTCTCCTTCCTCTTCAAGGTTTTGTCTGTTCTTGTTTATGTTATGCATTTTCTTGCCTGCTCTCCTTTCTTCTTTCATAGATAGGCAGCCTGTTGCCAGCTCCCTATCTACTGGTGGGTTACTTTGGAATGTCCATTTCAGTTTTAAGAGAAAGCACTTTGTTTCCACGATCTTGGCAACCAGAGGCCTTGAGTTTGCTGAGCACTTTCCTAGAAAATTCCTTAGTGATGCAAAGTAGTGGTGGGGCTAAACAATACACCCAATGACGTCAAGGGGATCTGGTTTCTTTGACTTGGACCCTGCCTTCTCCCTTGACTCAGTAAAGCAAGTGAAAAGATGGATTGACAAACACAAGAATCTCCTGTGGTTTTTTTAAACTAGTTTGCATTCACCCACCAAATGCAAAAACTATTTACAGCATTCAGTATTAAAGCTCTTGAAGGTGAGTTTCATGGAAATGATTAAATTTGATACAGGCTAGCAGGATGATAGAGTCCGTGTTAGCAATATTCCCGCCTTCATTGTATTAGGGCCTTTCCTTTATGATCCTGGAATAACTGAGATGGTAATTTCAAGAGGGACCTAGACAGAGGTAATGGGATAGAAGCATCTTGTTAAATATGAATGCTTTTGTTATGTATTTCTGAATATGTGAGGGGTGATCTTGTTGGAATGACCTATGTGAAGAGTTTTTTAATTGTTTGTTGGAGGAAAGGGTGCTTACTATACTCCTAAAGCTTTTTTTTAATCCCCAGATGGATCTGTTTTATTCTCACTTCATACCACTAGCATCCCAAAAGAGAAGTTAAGATTACAAGTCTCCTATATATTTTACCACGAGCACAACTCCAGGGGGAGCCATTTGTATAGTCTACAACATAAAAAGGGCTCTCTAGGGCTTGTAGTGAGGTAGCTCAAACCGGAAATCCCCTACCCCCAATCCAAGCTTTGCCTCACCCTTGTACTGGGAATCATTTGCCCTCAGACACCTCAAGGTTTTGTTTGTTCTTGTTTATGTTATGCATGTTCTTTCCTCCCCTCTTTTCTTTTTTCATGGATACATGGATACGTACTATTGCTGGCTGGCTCGGTGTCTACTGGTGGGTTATTTTGGAATGTCTTTTTCAGAACACCTGCAGAAGGTGTTCACACACAGGACATGTCAGTTTCTGAGGCCAAGTACAGCATGTCATAAGCTAGAAATGGTTCTCAATTTGGAGACCAGCAAAGTGAAAAGGGATATTATTTTTGTGTCATTATCTTGTATGACTGTGGTTTTAGTTTGATTTGGTTTTATTTCTTCATTTCTCATCCCTCACAACGACCACCACCTCCCCTGCCACAGTGTAACTGGCATCCTGCTAATCACTTCTCTTCATTCTGATTCCTGGTCCCTAACTTTGCTCCTCAACCTTCCCCCATGTGGGGTGAGTGTGAGGCTTGATTTGGTGCTAAAAGGCCACATGGCTTCTCCCCAGAAAGACAGGAGTAGAAAGCACCATAGGGGCATAAAGAAGAATTTGGAGCCAAACTGGGGGAGTTGATTGCACAAGGACCTGGTAGGATAGCAAACAGGCTTGTTTCATCATGGAGATATGTATGCTAATATGTCCCAATACCAGCATTGCATTTATCTGCCTTATGAATGATATTTCTTACAAAAGCTTATCTCTTGCTACTTTTCCAGAGGTCTTTAATCAAAAACTGGAGTACTTGCCTGCTTATCTGACCCTTTTATGTTTGTCCATTGACATGAGAGGTTGTCGTAGGGCAGAATCATGGCTCAGGGTTGGGGGCCCTTTCCAGAAGAGCTAGCATCCCTTAAGGAGTGTGGCTGCGGCATGTCATCAGGACCTCTGACACACCTTTCTCATTGCTACTGGTAAGAAGATGAGTCAGCAAAGCAGTAGGCTCCTTTGTTGCACATTTTCAGTTAGAAGAGGAGAATTAAGCAAGGACCTGTATGAGGAGGCTGACTCCAGTGACAATGATGCTCTTTTTCACTAGCTAGGGAAATGACACTCTCTATACTGAAGATCTGAGATTCAGAATCATCAAAAACTCTATATCAATATATGCATTGTTATAAATCCAAGTCCCAGAGTGTAACAGTCCTTTTTAAAATGTATTTTTATTGATTTTTTACAGGGAGGAAGGGAGAGGGATAGAGAGTTAGAATCAATGAGACAGAAACATCAATCAGCTGCCTCCTACTGGGGATGTGCTTGTAAGCAAGGTATATGCACTTGACCGTAATGGAACCTTTCATTCTGCAGGACAATCTCTATCCACCGAGCCAAACCGGTTAGGGCAGAGTGTAACAGTCTTAAAAGTCTGGGAAGCCTGTCCCAATTGATTAAGAACTCTACACATAATTATGTAAGCATATATGCTAATATGCATGATTGGAGTTACTTCTCTAGAGAATGTGACAGTCTCTAGACTGGAGTCTAAATAATGGATAATATGAATGAGATTTGAACTAAATGTCCATAATGGACCCATGTTCACTGAACTAACTTAACAGGAAGATATCACTTCCAGGATTCCCAGTTCTTTTCCCATCAATCTTGTAGCCCTGATTTTCCTGTGCCCCAAAGGTTGACTGTCACTGTCTTCAGGAAGAGGGCCTGCAAATGTTGACATTATCTTCTGAGATTTATTAAGAGATCAGAACATGAAAATGAAGAACTATAAACAGTCAGTCACTTTGCCACTTTTCCAGAGAAATTCATTTTTCCTCAGGAAATTCAATTTAAGTATTGCCAGGTTTGCAGAATTAGATTCTTTTTCCATTTCTTCCCTGTCCCTCTCTCCTTCACTATGGTTTTGCTTTCTCCTCGGGAGAAACTGAATCCAAGGATTGTAAGTCTAGACTAGCATTTCCCAAAGTAACTTTGGAACATTAGTCCCACGAGGAAAGTCTTGAAACAGAGATTCAGTGGGCAGAGGATTTCGGGAAAGTGCTGCCTACTATAACTCAATCTTGGAGAATCTTGGTGCAATTAGCAGATCAAAGGATCGAAAAAGTCATATAAGAAAGAAAGCTCTCCAATTTTATTTAATCCAGCACTTCCCGGATTTATTTGATCATAGAATCTTGTTTTTTCTTTTCTAGTAACATCTGTGCCCTGAGAAATACTGTTCTCAGAGTATCAGGTGAAGAAGGAGACTATTCAGTTTAAAACATGGCTGATCTAGTTTCCAGCAGTGTTTTTCATCTTAAGGTGGAGTTTTGAAGCAATTTCCCCTCTGCTTTGCATAGCAGAAAATGAGAGTGGCCCTTTCACTTATTTCCTGGAATGCCTTTTTCAAAGGTTTAACATCTCTGTTATTTCACCCAAGCCCAATAGGGCTGAACTAAGGAAGCCACTCTAAGGATGAGGACCCAGGAAAGCAAGGATAATAATAAGTGTGCAGCCCCTCGGGGATTTGGAATGAGTGTGATGAGGGGAAGGAGGGTTTGGAGGACATGTAAGAGGAATCAGGAGGCTGTGGCAGTCCAGTGGCCGAGAAAGGAGCAGTTGACCATTGGTGTGCCCTGTGACCCCCAGGATGGCCATAGTCATTGAATATGTCCAAGTAGAACAGTCACACAATCCCAGGAATGCCTGCAGGAAGTCCTTCCAACCAAGTAGTGAGCACAAGGGCAGACAACAAGTATTTCCTGTGACACTGCTGGTGAGCTTTGAGAAACAGTAAGGACCAAAGGGTCACTGGAACAGGCTGGGACACAGGGATTTTATTTTTAGTGAAGGTGCCACTACTGATTTTAAAAAAGCTAAGTGGGAACTCAACTTCTCAATGCCCTGTGTACCTGTCGTCATCAGTATCACCTGTTCCTGTCTGTAGTATCTTTCCTTGCCTCATCTATGAGGTTAAGTCCTTTTTCCAGGCATCATATGATTTTCATTGTTCCAAAAAAAAAAGTCATAGTTCATTCATTTCTTTCTAGCGGCTCCCAGGTATGAGTTAACCTGTAAATAAAAAACAACAACAAACAAACATACCCTCAGAGGGAACCCACACTCCAGCCAACACACAATGCCAGGTCTCATTTTGGGTCCAGGACTTGCATTTCTGTGGTTGGGTTTTGGGTTGGAGATTGCGCCTTTAAGGTCCTGGTCTCAGTGTCACTTCCACTTGCTAAAGCATCTGCCTCTCTGAGTCTAATGCCCTACCTGGCAAAGAACCTAAACATTTCTGGTTAGGAACCCCCCAGCATGTGGTCACATACAAGCCCAGAATGCACCTCTCCTTTCTCCTTCCTTTGAATGAGATGCTCCCTGAGGGGAGTTGGGAAGCTCCACACACATTCGCTACCGGGAAGTTTTTGGACCCCAATTAAAAGTTACATTTCACATTTTACTTCAGAAATCCTTCTTCTAAGGAAGAGCTAAAGTCTGCGAGCATGAAGGCATGGTATTTTTTAAATTGACAATTGATATGTTATTCATGCTCTTTTTTTTTTCATATTACAAAGCACATTCACACCTGTCTGGCATATAATATAGCATAAATGTCTGCTGAGTACATTGTTTCCTCAGCACCTCTGGGAAATAGGAAGGGCAGATGGAAATTTCTCCAAGGTAAAGAAAAGGATTTCCAGATAACACACACACACACACACACACATGCACACACACACACACACACACACACACACACACACACAAAACAAACAAACAAACAAACAAAACCACACAAAACCCTGGAGCTCAGAGAGGTTGTCTATTATCCAAGGTCACACCCAGAAAATCACAGGCCCCAAATGAGTCCCTGGGTTCTGTGCACTGGTGGCCAGCCTCTCTGATGTTAGTACGTATGCAG